ATTAATGTGCTTCCACTAGGCCCTGTAGAAACAATTTTACCAGCTCTAGCATTTTGCTCCCTACTGCCTCAAGGGATGGGCAGAAAACATCAGCTACCCTTATAAGATATCTGTGCTTAGCTGTCTTCCTAGTCACAGTTAATGAAAAGACAAAGTAAGGGAAATACAAATTCCCTTCAAAAACTAACAGCCATGAAAAGTATCCTTTGTTTAGTATGCTTAGTAACTTTATGTTATGAGCTGCTATGTTAAACTATGATTTCATTGGCTTGGGTTTGTCACACTAGTCCCAAGGATATTTGCAAAACAGCAATAGCTGCAGATTGCCTCCAAGGAGAAGTTGTTGAGGTATTTTGTGCTTGGTCGCTTGTTCTGTATGTAATTTTACAGTCATGACTGTACCGAGCTGAAGCCATTCTGAACAATTCACCACATTCATTGTGCATCCACACAGTTGTACTTAATAATAAACAAATTGGTTCTGACTCGTACGAAAAATGTATTCAGTGGATTGATTTCCAGTCTGAAGGCGGTAAGGAACTACCTAACAATGAAAAAGGTAATCTGACCTTGCTACTTCCTCTAGATGTGCTGAGGAAGGCAGTGAGGAGGAACCTGTATCCCTGAGAAGGACAGCACCCCTCAAACCCTTTGCTCTAGGCTATAGGAAAAACATAACTATTGTTTTATGGAGAGGTAATTGTTTCTTCATTCATCACAGTTCTACCTCGATGTCCCTACCAAAAGAAAATTAAGTCAAGTATTGCCGAAACTTCTGGAGACTATTCTAAGTGCACATTAAGTGTGGTGGAAAAACTCTGTTAGGATTTTCTATCTTTCCTCACACTAAAGCTTTGATTTGTGTCTTGGGACAAGGTGGTGCCAGCTCCATTTCTCAGTGTCAAGAACATCGAGATCTATGAAACTTTTCTACTGAGAATGTAGTACTTTAAAAGTCTTCATGCATATTTCATACTTCACAAGAGTCTGAGCAGAAGACATGAACAGCCTTGGATGATTCTTGAAGCACTCTTCGGCACTGTAGAGAATCATAGAATAATTTAGGTTGGAAAAGCACTTTAAGATCACCAAGTCCAACCATAAACCTAATACTGCCAAGTCCATCACTAAACCATGTCCCCAAGTGCCACATATACATGTCTTTTAAATACCTCCAGGGATGGTGACTCCACCAGTTTCCTGGGCAGCCTGTTCCAATGCTTGACAACCCTTTCAATGAAGAAGATTTTCCCAGTATCCGATCTAAACCTTGCCTCTTTGTAGTTGTTTTAATATAGCTGTAGACAGCAAAAAAAGCCAAAAGAGAGAAATGCCACAGTTTTTACTCAGGAACAGTCTGAGTTATTGCTCATATCTGACCATGTCTTGAACTCGGAGACTATTTCTGTCTGTTTCTGATGGCTAACAGCCTCTTTATCATTCATCCCTAGTACATTATCATATTACTGAAAGGAATAGTTCTGATTTTGAGTAAACTTCAGATTACTTACGTTGATGTCTTTCGTCATTTGAGTATGAACTAGTCACTGATAATTAGAACTGATTATTATCAACTTGTCATAATTATTAGCATAATTCTAATTATAACTGTTTAATGGTAGGCAGTCTTCTCTTTGGCATGTATGCATTGGAATGTTTGGATCTCTAAGTGACTATGCAGCTATCTGTCTTTTTTGTTAGGAATCATTAATGCTCAATAATTGTTACATACTCATGCTTTTTCCTCATGGAATAACTGGGGCATCAAAATACGTAGTTCAGTTTCAGTACTAGCAGTGATATAATGAAATAGTTCTGGTTTCATTTTTGCTTTATGCAATGTATGTACTGGACTGTGGTGGCTGCTTCCTCAGTCAGTCTTTCTCCAAATTCCTGAGTTCTTTTATGTTTGCCTGATGTTATAAGGAGAGAGACAGCCATGTTACCAGCCTGGTGCTCCAGGTAGTAGCAATGTTTGTGCAGCTCTAACTCTGTATCTAAGCACAGGTAAATGTCAGTGCCAGGCTACCTTTTTTCTGCCCTTGTTTTTGTCCCTTGGATGAATGAGTCCTGTGAGTTGAGGATTGGCTAAAGGACTTTAAAGTGCTTTGTGATAGTAGGCTTCAGAAAAAAATCTTAATGCTAAATAGAATGTAAAACTATACTAATTGTACGTGTCCCATAGTTGATGGAGAAATACAGGAGCTTCAGCAGGCAGTTGCTCTTGTCTTAGGATAAGCAATCATGCTAGATGAATTACATCACCTGATCATCTAAGTCTTCTGGAGAGCATAGTCTAAGTCTTCTGGAGAAGAGAAGGCTCCAGGGAGACCTTATAACAGCTTTCAGTGCCTAAAGGGGGCCTACAAAAAACCTGGAGAGGTACTACTTACAAGGACTTGTACTACTTACAAGGGTACTACTTACAAGGGGGAATGGTTTCAAGCTGAAAGAGGAGAGATTTACACTAGATATAGGAAAAAATAATTATTCCCTGTGAGGGTGCTGAGGTGCTGGCACAGGGTGCCCAGAGAAGCTGTGACTGCCTCATCCCTGGCAGTGTTCAAGGCCAGGTTGAATAGAGCTTGGAACAGCCTGGACTAGAGGAAGGCGTCCCTGCCCATGACAGGGGGTTGGAACTGGATGAACTTTAAGGTCCCTTCCAGCCCAAACCATTCTATGATTCCGGCTTCTAGAAGAGTAGTTTCTACTTACTTAATGTTTAACCTTTGCTCTAATACTGAAATGTTGCTGTGTGTATTTCTGTAGAACTAATAAACCCAAACAGAGCAGGCACTCAATGAAGTATGTCATCTGCACTTTAGGATGAATTTTGATATGCCCCTTGCCAATTAAAAGGACTAGTGTGAGCTGATGAGGATTGTGACAATGAGTTCATCTATCAAATATGAATCTGTTGGGCAGGGAGCAGTCAGCAGTGAGTTATCTTATACCTTCAGCTAATCCTTCAAATTATTGCAGATAATATAATCTCTCATCTGCAACACAGTAAATTCCTGTATGTGCTCCCTGACGAGCTTTATGCAGGACAATATAGGATAGCTTAAGCTACCGTTAGAGCATATAAGTGTGTCCTGACACTAAACTCCTTAAAGAGAAGCAAGTAAAATGCTGCTATGGCTAGCATCCTGGTTGTAATCAGCTTCTCTGTTTTTTTTTCCTCGTGCTTCTCTAAACAATTAGTACTTCTCACTTGTATTCTTCCTACTGAGTTCTGAGTAGTTTGCTGCAGAAGACTTCAGTCTAATGCACAAAAACATAGAATCATAGAATAGTTAGGGTTGGAAAGGACCTTAAGATCATCTAGTTCCAACCCCTCTGCCATGGGTATGGACACCTCACACTGGACTGTGTCACCCAAGACTCTGTACAACCTGGTCTTGAACACTGCCAGGGATGGAGCATTTATCACTTCTTTGGGCAACCTGTTCCAGTGCCTCAGCACCCTCACAGTGAAGAACTTCTTCCTTACGTCTAACCTGAACTTCCCCTGTTTAAAACCCATCACCCCTTGTCCTGTCACTACAGTCCCTGATGAAGGGTCCCTCTCCAGCATCCTTGTAGGCCCCCTTCAGACATTTTGAAGCTTATATGTAATTATCCTGCTGAGGTTATAAAAGAACTGCTTCTGTGACCTTAATTTGCAGTATCCCTATATAGTCAAGAAAAACAGAATTTTGTTTAGCTGTTACATGTCCTTGCTTTAATCTGGTTTTGTTGTATTTTGAATAGATGATGAACCAGAAGATGGTGCCCATCATTACTTTATAATTTTGGATTTCCACAACCTTCAGTTATTGCTTGTGATGTTTGAACTTGGAATTAAAATTTCAAGTGTAATTAGAATTTCTTCTGAGAATTACAAGCCGTTGCAGACATACTTGGAAGCAACTAAACTTAAAGAAGAATCTTTACAGTCATCTGAAGGTAATCTGGTCATAAGAACAAAATCTGTGTAGAAAAGAGGCTATTATATATCTAAGTAAAGACTGTTCCTGCTGTGTTTTTTTCCCTCTCCATGCATTGTGTTTGTGCGTACTAGTTGTGAGCAACTGTGTTTACCAGTGCAAAAATGGTAAAATTTAAAGGTAACGTCCTACTAGAAAGCAGTCGAAAGTGCAGAGAGCAGAAAGCATGGATTTGTTCAATTTCATTGTATTTAAAACACCTACTGGGGATGAAGGGACAGGGACAGGTTTCCCCAAGTATTTCCAAACTGACACTATCTTTTCTTTTCCTTGTATGTATAATAGCAGGAAGACTTTAGTAAACTTAAGTAATTATTACATAAAATTTACAAGGAAACTTTAAAGGGCAAAAAAAAAGTATGTCTAGATGATAGTATCTTGTGTAAGCAGTGTTATAGGTTGTAATGCAAGTTTTCCTCATTACTAAGAAAGGATAGGTGGCATAGTAAGAAAACAGCTTGGCTAAACCATGTGTTCTTTGTAGACTTCAGATACAAGAAAGCATTTAAGCGTTAGAAATAGGTCAGGTGACTAGGAATTAAAATGTTTGTTTATTATAAGCCTATTGGCACAAAATCAGAAATGGCAAGACATAAAATGGGGTGCAGGAGGAGGAACAAGTTAAATGTCTGTTAGCTGGTCAACAGAGAGGAAGAGCTGCCAGGAGGTGATCCTGAGAAGACTGGCAGTGGTTAAGGTTTGGAGGGGCTTTTTGTACTTCTTGTTGGCATGTGTGTTGGGGGGTTATAATTTCTTTTCGCTATAAATACCATTCCAGACAGGTGATATTTTTAGCTAACCACAATTAATGCTGGTAGCAGAAAGATTCATCTTCCAGTTGTGAAGGAATAGGTAAAATAACTGCTACTTGTGTAAGGTAGAGAACTTTTCGGATCAGCTGATTCAGATTAATTTAAATTGTATTCTATTTAAAGATTTGCCTGCCATTCTCATTTCTATTTGAGAACTCATAAAGAGCAAGTGAGATAGTGGAAAAAGAGCTGTGAGGAAGAGGGAAAGGAACACAAATAGCCAAAGCACTGTAATCTGCGTAACTTCTGTTTCTGGAAAAATACTGGAACAAATAATTTATAACCACTTAAAGGAAAAATGAGGACATGAGTAACAGCTAGTGTATGCAGTTCAAGAACAAATCATATCAGACAAGTTTAATTTCCTTACAAAATGAAGTACTGGCCTTCTGAGCAGAGGAATAGTCGGTGTTGTAAAATTGGATTTTAATAAGGCTATTTCACATAGCCCACAGTGAGCAAGGTAAGTCTAGGTGAAAATAAATCTACTGTAGGTGCAGTCTCGTTCAAAAACCTTGGCCTCTGTAGAGTAACTTGTAAAGGTTTACCCTCAAATAGGATGCATGGAGTGGACTCAAGGGGATTTGTGCTGTGTCTGGTATTATTAGGTGTTGTCATGGGTATTGGAATAAGGGGGTGAGAGGTTCAAATGCAAATCTCCAGATTATAAATGAGAATATGTCCTAAAAATACCTGAAATAATGTGATTAAGCAAATAAATGGTGAGGTAAGACCTAATGAAATACGTGCCAATCACAAAAATTCCGAATGATGGAAAAGAAGATTATTAAGGATCTATAAAATTTTACTTATGAGGAAAAAAACTGAATTGTTATCCTTAAGTTTAAGAAGAGAAGGCTGAATGATGTAGTGGAGAAATTATAAGAGTTTTCAAGTTTGTAAAAGGTTAGGATGTAAAATAAAGTGTTTGAATTGCAATCAAGGAAATACAACAGAGCAGGTAGAAGCTTTCCACAGGTGAGGTTAGTAAAGTATTGAAGTAGTCTGAGTAGGAGTATTATTGAGTCTTTGAGAACTTTTAATGTTATATTAAGACAAACATCTGCCTTCATTGCTGCAGGTATAGTTGATTGTGCCTTGGAGCAGTTACTAACTAAAGTATTTCATAGTTCAGTGACTTACAAAATAGATCATGGCTGATCATTTCAATAGTGTACAGAGAAACTTTTAGAAAGGAAGCCATTAACCTGTAAATGCAGTTCTGTTACAGTGTTCCTGTTGTTCTTAGCATAAATCACATGAATCATGGATTAGGGACCATAGCTTTCATGTTCCTTTTCCTTCCCAAGTGTTTGCATTCCTTAATGACTTTCATATTGTGGTTAGGTTAAGCACTTAGTACCCTTTCATACGGTTAATTTTCTGTTCCTCTAATCAGTCTAGAAGGTGTATGTTGTGGTTCAAGCCCAGCCAGCAACTTGGAACCACGCAGCTGCTCACTAACTCCCCTCCCTCTTCCTTCCTCCCCCCGCTCCCGGAGGGATGGGGAGGAGAATCGGAGCAATGTAACTCCCACGGGTTGAGATAACAGCACTCCAGTAACTAAGGTATAATAGAAACCACTACTGCTACCAATAATAATGATAAGAGGAATAACAAGGGGAGAGGACACAACCGCTCACCCCCCGCCGACCGATACCCAGCCCGACCCGAGCAGCAATCTGGGCCTTCTGGGTAACTCCCCCCAGTTTATATACTGGGCATGATGTGCTGTGGTATGGAATACCCCTTTGGCCAGTTTGGGTCAGGTGTCCTGTCTCTGCTTCCTCCTGGCTTCCCCTCCTCCCCGGCAGAGCATGAGACTGAGAAAGTCCTTGGTTGGAGTGACCATTACTGAGCAACAACTAAAAACATCGGTGTTATCAACGTTGTTCCCAGACTGAAAGTCAAAAACACAGCACTGCACCAGCTACTAAGAAGGAGAAAAAATGACTGCTGTAGCTGAACCCCGGACAGTGTACCACTACTAGTTCAGCTTTTCTGGGAGAACTCAGATCAATCTCTCAGCTTGACAAAATGCAATTTACTTTTCCCCATTTCTACTGGAAATGTGTGACCTGATACATCCTAGTGATTCTTGAAGACTTCATTTCATTCTGGGAGTATTTACATGATGAAAGTATACTTAAGACAGGGACAAGGAGAATGATGAACTGCCTGTAAGAAAACATTGGATTCAGAATCATCTAAGGAACCTGAAGGTGCTCAAGTCCATGGAACCTGGCAAGATGAATTCGCGGGTCCCAAGGGAATTGGCAGATATAGTTGAGAAGCTACTATCCA